CATTTTCCCCCCAAGCCTTACCATTTTTTTAGTATATATACTAGTGAGGCCTTAATCGTCAGGATTCCACTTTCCTCTCCTAACGCAGTGAACAGAGAACTCAATGGAGAGCCCAACCAATCCTAATTTCTGGGGAGGCAATGGAGATCGAAGTAAGAGCTAAGGTTTCTGGTTCTTTTGCTTTGACAAATTTCTTATATATTGTGCCTTATAATAGTATTCACTTTCCATCCTTCATCTATGACAGTAAGGTTTGCAGAAGATCAGTTCCCGAGTCTTAGTCAGCAAAATCTCCAAATGGAGCCGGTGAGGCAAGAATCAGGTCAGGGTTTCCTGAAAATATTCAAAGCAAATCACATAATTTATATGGCAATTGCTTTTTTTTTTTTTTTTAAACAAGTACATTTTGGGGGTGGGGGATAGAGAATCGAATCCAGCCACAAGGGCTAGAGTTTGTGTACCTCCACCAGTTGGCAGCAAGGGCCAGGGGCAGATGGCGATTGCTTTAAATTTTTAAAAGGAATAAATCATGATTCTCCTCATTCTTTGATGTTCTTCTTCCATAAACATATAAAAAATTAAGGTTTATAGCTTGTTTGAAATGAGGAGAGGGAAGAGGAGACGAGAGGGAAATTTCTCCATTTGATTAACAAAAATTAGAAGAAAAGAGAGTGGAGGGGAGGGGTATTTTCTTATTTTTCTTAAATTTCATTTTTAATTTTAATGTCTTCCATTTTCAAGCTTTACGATTAAAACTATTTCAAGTCTTCCTGTTAGTTTTAGGTATATGTTAATTCAAAAAGCAAAGTATCTTATTTCAGAAATGTTGAAGGATTGCAATGTCTTGAAATAAATGGGGAATGAGAGTATACTATTTTCAAAAGGTTAAGAACTAATGAGGAAATTTATTCAAAAAATTATATGGTTTAAAACCAATGAGAGTTCTTGTACTTGAGAAATTGTTTACTATCTTTTTTATAAAAAATGCTTGTTCAATAGTATCCTTCTACTACTCTCTTTTCTTCATTATTATCCTTGAAACCCTATATTTTATGTTTCATTTTTTTCCTTGAATGCTTAATGACAGGTGTTATTTAATATAATTATTTTTAAGTTCTTCATGATGCATATAAATTTCTTAATTAATTGACTCACAAGTGCATTACTGTCTTTTTTATCATAGTTTTCAAATTTTTGTTAAATATTTTTGAACTGTGTTAGTGACTTGTAGAGATAAGAAAATTAAATATCTACATTTTTATTTACAAACTTGTATTTTTAGTTCATGCTTACTCATTTAGTATCTATCGTTATAAGGAAAATGCATTTTTTTTATGTGAAAACTGTGAAAACAAAAGTTACAAACAAAATAAATCAAGAATAAATCTGGCCCCCCAATCTATATTCCTGGTCCGTCCCTGCAGGAAATACTGAACAATTTGTACGAGATTTGATCCTGAGCAATCCCGCCAGTGAGCAAAATCTTTTGATGAACAATCCAACGGCAGCCGAAATAGAGTTGACGAGGCAACAACAACCAGAACCAGGTCAACCTCAACATGCAGATATTTCGTCTGCAGATTCTCATTCAATAATAAATTGTATTCCTGAAAATAGTGCACCAGACCCACGTGCCAAAAAAAGAGAAATCGATCGAAGATATAGAGAGAAGAAGAAGGTAATTAATAATCTCCTTAAGTGGGAAAATCTAGTGAATCCTTGAATTTATACAAGATGAGCACATTCTTCCTATTATCTTCGGAAAATCCTAAGTTTTAGGAAAATAATTAAAAGATAATTTTTTATGTAATTGCATACATTTATTTATTTAATGATATGTGAAAATTGTATGAAAATATTGTTCACAAATCATTACCCCTAAGTTTATAACATTTAACGATAAGATTAATGATTTTTTGGGTACAATTTTAAAATGAGATTTTGAGATGAAACTATTTTCATTTTTAATTATGTAGATCTATATAGGTCTACATTATGATTAATAACTCTTATAAGTTAGTTTTAAAATTTAGTTTTAATTATCATTAGTCTATATCTGCAAATTTAGTTTTAATTATTATTATTATTAAAATTTTATTTTAAATTTATATTTTAAAAATTAAAAAATAAATTAAATTTATTAAAAATAAACTGAAAAGTATTAT